TTTTTTTTTTTCGGGGAGGAAAAGGTTTATTTGGCTTACACTTCCTGATTATAGTCCATCATTGGAGGAAATCAGAACAGGAACTCAAACAGGGCAGGAACCTGGAGGCAGAAGCTAATGCATACATAGGCCATGGAGGGGTGTTGCTTACTGACTTGCTCCCCATGGCTTGCTCAACCTGCTTTTTTTTTCCCTGGTTTTTTGAGACAGGGTTTCTCTGTGTAGTTTTGGTGTCAGCCTGCTTTTTTATAGATTCCAGGACCACTAGCCCAGAGGATAATAAATAAATCTTTTTAAAAAGAAAGAAAGAAAGAAAGAAAGAAAGAAAGAAAGAAAGAAAGAAAGAAAGAAAGAAAGAAGGAAAGAAAAGAAACCGATCTTTAAAAAAAATCACTATTAGTGGTGATAAGTTCCCATGTTCGTTTTCCTATAAACAGAACCTAAAGACACTTTGCGATGAAAAGCAGTGGGACACCCTAACTAGCTAGTTTGCTTCTGAAGTATGCCTGGCTGCTCTGAACAAAAGAACTGTTGGCTCCGCTCCCTTCTGCTGGCACCAGCCATCTGGAACATTCCACAGACACCTTAAGACAACTGTACAAGTTCTCTCCCAACCAGGCCCATCCGAGTGACCCAGTTCCCGAAGGCATGGCCTCAGCCAGGGCTGTGTGAGGCTGGGAGAGCTCCAGATGACCCTGTCGCCATCTCCACTAAGCCAGAGGAGGAAGGGGCACGCATGGTGGTATTTTATTTGTACTGAAATGTGATTTTATTTGTATGTTAATAAATAAAGTTGCTTGGGGGTCAGAGCTAATAACAAGCTATAGCAGAGCTGGGCGTTTGTGGTGTAATCCCAGCACTTGGTAGGCAGAGCTAGGTAAGTCTCTGTGTGTTCAGGGATACAGCCAGCATTGGAGACACACGCCTTTAATCTCAATACCATAGAAGACCTGGAGGGCTGTACAAACAGGCAGTGACGAGGCCGTCATGTGTTTGGGTTTACAACCAATGAGAAGGCAGAATAGCAAGACTATAAAGACAAACACACAGGAAGTAGCTCTGGTTCGGAGAGGTAGGACCACCGCAGGAGGAAGGGTAAGGTTTTAGCTCTGAGCTCTGACCTCTTGGCTTTCTTCTTTACATTGGTTCTGTGTTTCTTATTTAATAAGACGGTTGGTTACATCTACAGGCATGTGCCCTGGTGGTCTAGCAGACGGACTGCAGTGCCTGGTGCTAAGAGGCAAGGCTGTGGTTGCCCCAAATAGCTCTCCTCAAGCTGTATAAGCAGGCTGCTCAGCCTCCCTCATGAATGGCAGGGAGACATCCTCCTGTGCTCCCTCCCCTGCTGGGATAGTCCCCCTTAGAGGGCTTCTTTAAAGTGGTCTCGTCTGTGCTCAGTCGTGTGGGCTGAGGTGGTAACAGAGAAATCAGCAGAGAGAAGGCAGAGGCAACAGCAGCATCCGTGACAGGCTACCCTGCAAGGCGGGCACAGCACCAGAAGCAGCTGATCAGTTAGTTCAAGAGCTGCCAGGGCAGGAAGAGGAGGACTAGAGACTCTGGAGAGTGGAGACTGAGGCTCACCAAACACTGGAAGGAACCAGGGAAGAGAAACTGCAGGCCCAGGTCACTGGACGAGTTCCCAAGAACTGGCTTCAGGGCCAAGAGTCCCAAATCTTGAGCCAAGACTGTGTTAAGCACAAAGTACTCGACTTGCCAGGCTACACAAGAGCGCAACCCTGGCTGCTGCCAACAGTGGAGGAGTCAGATTCCTAAGGTGCACACAGCGGCGCTGTACCGCTCACAGGGCTACAGGTCCTGATAGCCACGGCTGCACGCATAGCGGCCACCACCTGCTGCTGTCCAACACAGGGGAAGAAGAGCAACCAAGACCAACGCTTGAAGAGCATCTCCTTTCCTATGGTTTCCATCTGGGTAGACTCAGCAGAAGGGCCCTGGCCAGCTGACAGACAGCAACACTAACAGAACCTGCATGCTATCCAGGCCACCGTGGGCTAAAGCCCAGAGTGATGAATCCCCAGCCTAAGCACCTGGAGTCCTGACCCTCTGGTTTTTACAGCCTGTAGCAACCAGACTCCAGCTCTCTACAGCCCCTGGCTCTGCCAGTCTAGCCCCTTGGGACAGCCCACTGGAGAACATGTCACTTGCTCACAATTGCTCTCTGGGCAGAGCAGGAAGGATCCCATTGCCTAACAGTAGCAAGGCTGGTGTCTCTGAAAGGATCAAGCAGCCATAACAGACTGCTCAGTCTTCTCTCAGAGATCAGGCCTCAATTTCAGTTTCCTGAGACTTGAGCAAGCAGTTTCTGGGAGGGCCATGAACAAAAGACATAGTCCTTGCAGTAGCTCCCTTTCTGCATGTACTCTGACTGCTCAAGGTTCAGCCAGTTGTTTACTGTCTGGGACCCCTCACCAGCTTAGAGCTATGTGCATGGGTCAATGTGAATGTGAGAGGCCAGCCAGCCCCCATGGCAGCTCAAGGTCAAAGCCTGGGACTTGTTCAGGCCTGCCCCCAAAATGATAACTGTAACCCCCAACCAGTAAATTCAAAGGTTACACACCCTCACCCAATCACATGATGCCAAGGCTTGTAACACCCTGCTTGGGGTTTTTCCCTTTAAATAACCCCTCACCCTGAGAGCTCAGGGCCGTCCTTCTTCACCTGGCTAGCCAGTGTGTTGAATGCGGACCAAGCCAGAGCTTGCATGTTATCAATAAGGCCCTGTGTGTTTTGCACTGGATATCGGCTCTGTGGTGGCCTTGCTCAGGGGTCTCGCAACGCAGGCACAACACCCTCAGCTACTCATTCTCTGTATAACCCTGGTATTTTGCCCCACTCTGTCTCCCTCTTCCTCCTCTCTCTGCTTTCTCGCACTCTCCCGCTATGGTTTTTCTTTTCTCTCTCTTCTCTTGCTTCTGGACAGGTCCCATCTGCTGGCCATGTTCAATCTACTCCTTTCTCCTTCTGCCCTGGACTCTTCC